AGTAGGACAATTAATCAGAAACAGTTTAACCATAACAGTGTTGCATTGTTATGCAAATAGGTTAAATCATAATTTTTCCAATTCAATAAAATAAAGTACGGAATTGGTAAACATTAGAAATCAGACAAGCCAAGCAAGCAAATAACAGTTGAAGAAATTTATAGTCAACTGCAAAGCGTTATGTTACCATTAAAATAAAGTACCATAAAAAGAACCCTTCTAAGGCGTTTCTTTTTCTTCTTGTTTTGTCATTAATTGTTTCCAATTGGTCCATTACTGAGAAAAAAAAAATTACACGCTTATTTGCAGTTAACGTAACAGTGACGAGAAGAAACGAAATCATTCTTTTTTTACGGTTAGAAAAAGAACATGAAACAATTCAATATATACAAAGCCCAAGACCTCTATTCTGTGAAGTAAATCATTTGCAAGCTAGTTCACTGGGAATTCATGGACATGCATAAAGGGAAAAAAATAATTGAACATACATAAAGGGAAAAAAATAATTGAAATACAAAAAAAGTTCCCAGTCCATACACGAACTGAGTTCCGGGCAACAAGATCTGTCAACTCTTCCATCCTCTTTTCTCTTTTATAAAAAGAAAAAAGGAGGAAACGGGACGTAGAGTAGCGATGAAATTAGTTACATCTCAACACAAACATCCAGCAAATTAGCCAATAAATTGGCCATGAATAACAAAGGACCCTATACACCTCAATCTCAATTCACATATCCAGAATCCTGTTCACTGGAAAAAAACTCAAATTAAAACACTGCTTAATTCATTCAAATCATCAAACTAGACCTTCTACCCGCTAAAAAAACCTATAAATCAGGGAATGAAAAACATCAAAATGTATCAGTAACCAAACAAAAAAACACCTGAGAGCAAAGCATCGGTAAGCAAGAGATATTCAGTGGCTGAAGAAGACCGAAGAGTTCAAAGACTAAATACGATATCTAAGAAAATTAATGACATGTAACTGTAAACGAAAACGAAAAAAAAACCAAAGAGAAAAACATTGATATAAAGGAGAAGAGTAAAGAAATAAGAACAGACCTGAGAATTATCTCCACGTGCCAGCCATGAAAGTATCTTCTCCAGATTTTCACTGCTCTGCTTCGATAGAGAGAGACTGGAAATGGAGTTGTTGACTGTTTAGCTTCTTTCAAAAGAGAGAGAATCAGACACAGAGAGAGAGAGAGAGGAGAGGGAGAAAGCACGTTAAAAAGGGAGGGCCATTAACTTAACCATGGTTATTAACTTTTAACCGTGGTTAATCCGTGAGCTGGCATTTCGATATTTCCTTTTACTGCATAGGGGCTTCTCTTCCGTGTAATAACTCATTCCCAAACAACGCTCCTCTACAAAGTAGAAACACCATGTGGACATCGATCCGATGGCTGTGATAAAATAGGTTTTCTCCTTTACATTATTTTTTTCAAATTTAAAAACTACTCATGAGAAAATTAAAATATGATAAATTGGAAATTAGTTTACATATGATAATGAACTTAAAGTATATTATTACATTTTTTATTGTATTATTATTTTTATTGATTCAGCAGTTTAAAATTAAAGTATATTTTTTGCGTATTTTATCAAATATGCATATAAAATAAACTAAACATTATAAAATTATGTTTTAATTTTAAATAAATATAAAAGTTGCTAAATTTATTTTGATTAAAATTTATTATAAATCGTGTTGTAATTAAATATATATTATTTATAATTTTTTTTAATGAGACGATAGAAAAATAATTTTTTTTTTAATTTAATAGATATTATAGTTGTAGCAAATGAAATGGTGTGGTGTGAGTGGAAGTAGAGAATCATTTATCTGCAGAGAACACGGAAAGAGAGAGTCGATGGAGCCAAACTTGATGGAAAGCTGTCTCTGTTGGCACTTGTAGAAAATTAACAAACTAATTTGTTAATTAAATTTAATAATTGCATATTTACTAGAATTTAGTCTTAATTAAATTACCCATAATGGGTTATATTTTTCTTGATTTACAAAGAAATCAAAGATTTTCTCATAATCATATTTGATTACATCTTTTTCTACTCTATTTGGATTTTGAGCTTCTGGATTGGATAATTATAACATACATATCTATCTACCAACCACCACCTTCTTTTTTTTTTTGCCAAAATCCTACATTAATGTATAAGAAGCAATTCATGGAAAACAGAACTAAAATTGAATATGAATACGAAAAAGGTTTAAATTTCTGTTATTAATGTAATAAATTACTAAATGTTTGTGTTATTTGTATATAAAAAAAAAAAATAGTAGTAGGGGTCAATTTATTAAACTTCTATTTTAAGATATTAAGAAAAACAATTTAATTATTGATTTTTGGTTTAAAATTAAGATTTTATGTATTTTTATATAATATACAAACACGAATATTTAATTTCCACATGTATTATTTTATTTTATTAAATATGATTTTAGTTTTTTTATTAAAGTAAAATTTAAAGTTTTAAAAATTCTTGAAATTAATTTATATTATAGAGTCAGAATTGTGCTTTCTAGAGAGAGAAAATATTGGTCCGTAGGGAGAGAAAAAAGAGAGAAAAGAAGGAGGAAGAAGAAGAAGTTGATGATTCTCCCTATTGGTAAATATTATAAAGTCACAACTGATTTTATTAAAAATAAAATTTAATACTAAAATAATATGTTTACACTATTTAGAAAGTGTTAAATACACATCTCATTAAATAAATTACGGTTAGCATGCATAATTATTTTATTGTTGTTATTATTATTACTATTATTATTGTTGTTATTATTATGATATGTATGACATAATTGATGTATTTTTTCAATTTATTAATTATAAAATTTATAGATCAAAGAAGGAAAAAAGTTTTTAATAAAAAAGGAACTAAAAACTAAAATAAGAAAGAAAAAAAAAAGATAAAATTACAAAATACTCAAGTAACACCTACTCATTTTATTTGCGAGATCATCATTTTCAATTTGTAACAGAACACCCATGATGAAATCGAAAGCACCTTCTTCATGATCCATGGATTTTTGCTTTTGTCATTTTCTTATTAATATTTATTTTCTTGTTTCTTCATTCGTTATTGATTTTAATTAAAATATAATGTTTGTTAGACTTTTATACCAACGAGATATATCATATTCATCCCCAAGTTCTTCTAGAACCAACTCATTGGTGTAGAATTCTTGTGAAAACTATATATCATATCACTATATTTCTATTCAAAATATAAATTAGTGAAATAAATAATAAAGAAAATCCCAAACACAATATATACATATCTTCAAACAACAACTTTAAAATAAATATTAATCATAACCTTAAAACAAATAAATATTGAAGTAAATGTTAAAATAATAATCATAAGCATGCATCAATCTAAACCATTTTAAGTGATTTTTAAGTCTAAAACTCGAAGTAAAACAAACCGTCAAACAATATGTAAACTAGTTTTTCAACACCATTATGTCTTAAGTAAAACATGCATAAAGATCACATTTCAATATGCTACATGTATCAACCCTATTTACATATTCATGCTATAAATCATATTTGACAAATCAAGACATAACAAAATTGTATAATAACTTTGTTTTGTTCAACATATATACCACATCATACATAATAGTGAATAATCTTACTAATTATGCACGATATTATACCCAATTGAGAAAAGCATAAAAGGATCATAAAAGCATTTCCATCATCATCATCACACTTGAGTATTCTTTTCTAAATGAAAATTTGGCCCAAAAAGGACATCTCTCCTCTTTAGAAATGCTTAAGGGACCTATTTATATGTTCTCATAAAATTTAATATAAAAACAGGAAGATTCCCATTTTGCATAATTTTCTATTTGTGATGGCCACTATGACCTTGACTTTCTATCTTTTTGTTAATTCTTAGTTTTGTGTCAGCAGCTCTAAGCATTATAATGCCATTTTCTGTCTCACTAGCATTGTGGCGCCAACCCTGGATGGCGAGATGTTGACATTCTATATGTGTTCCAAATCTTAACATCCAATGCCATGGTTTTAGCTCCTATCATCACGACTTTAGTTTTTTGTATTAGGAAACTATGTTTCTTGCGAGATTTTACTAAATTTTTTATTTGCATTCAACCATTCAAATTAAACATATGTAAACTAAATCAAATCATACTTATTTGAAAACTAGCAAAAAATTGAGGAGATCATGGATTGATTAGTCAGTATAAAACCGACTCATAAGCAATTATTGAACTTGTTTCTCATGACATGAAATAGAAGCTTTTTTATAGGCAACATATGTAAGTGTAGCATAGAAAAGATAAGGGATATGAAACTAACTATCAGTTGCTGATTAGGTAAAGGAAATGGTATTAAGATAAAACAAGTAGTGAAAAAGCAAAGATGGCTTCTTATAACAGAGCATTAAAGAGAAACAAGAACCTTGATATAGAGAGAGGCGAGAGATAAACCTCTCATTAAAAGCTACTGCACCAACAAAATTTAGTTTTATAACCACTTCTCTTCTTATAAGTTACGATGATATAACATGAAGATATTAAGAGCGATTGTTGAGTGAAAATAATAAATCTTTTGTTATTCTGAAGGTGATTAAAAAATAAATATTTAAAATAAATAAAACATAAAGAAACAAGATATTTACATTTTTACTAATAAATAACAAATTCTTTAAAAAATAAAAATTTATGCTCAAACTTGGGAATAGTGTTTTATATCAAGGAAGATCGATTAAAGCTTTTGTTTATAGTTAAATTTTATTACTTCTATGGTTATGAGATTAAAGCAATATATAAAGTTAATCTTTGATTTTACAAGCTAAGGTTTTAAATTAAACTCTTTAAAAATTAGGTTAGGGTTGCATTTTGTTAATTTAATCTTAGACATTATATAATAACTTTAAATTTTAAATTATTAAACAGTTGTTTAAAAATTATATAATTTTTTTTGTAAATTTTGATTTTTTTCTTAATTCTAATAAAATAAATGTAATACTGGAGCCCGAAAATTTGGACTAGGATTAATTTTAAAAAATTAAATTAACATATAACAAATATAAATTTTAAATTTATAAATTTCTATTTAATGCAAAATTAGGAAAAAATAAGTGGAGGATGAAATCAAAAATAATTTTAGAAAAAATGGGTGAAAATTTGGATTCGGGGGATGTTTTTGGAAAAAAAATTAGAAATTAGGGGTCAAACTGCAATCTAAGAAAAAATGTACCACATAGGAGCGCTCAGTCAGCAGTTCTGACAATCTGGAGTGCGCCATGTGGCAAGACACGCTGACTTGATGCTACGTGGGAGGCCACTCTGGCAATTTGCATGCCCGCGATTGGACGGTCCAGATTTATTCTCGTGCGCATGGACAATCCGGATCCGTTCTCTCCTTAGGCGCGATCAGACGGTCGCAATTAAACGCGATGAACGGGTCAAATTTGTTCATTCTTTAAATGTGATCGTACGGTCTAGATCAAATCGTGATAAATGGTTCAAATTTATTTTATTTTAAAACGCGATCAGACGGTCGAGATCAAATGCGATGAACGGTCCAAATTAAAGAGAGACGGGTATGAATATCACACTTTACATCGAACCCTAACCCTAGTCGCCAACTATCTGTCGGATAAGAAGAACCGATCGCTGGAGAAAGGAGCTGATTGCCGCCCGCCGCCGCGCCAGAGCCACCTCCGACCGCTAAAAAAAGTAAACAATTTTTTGTTCGTTCGAAATTTGATTTTGAACACCCACGTGGCCAAATCAGAGCAAAAAGACCAATGGATGAGTCAGAAACTGCGGGTAAAACTCGGCGGCACTGCCGCAGGAAAAATAAAAAATCGCCTCCGATGAGGTCCTTTTCGGTTTTCGTTTCGTACGATTTTTCTGCCATTATATTCACCATTTTATTTCCCACAGGTTGACCGAAGAAAAAGGCTTAACCGCAAAGGTGAGCCGGTGGAGTTGTCGTACCGAAAAACTTCGCTACCGGTAAGTTTCTATTTTTTGACTTTTTTCGACCAACAGAGGTCCCTTAATGTGTTTTTTCGCAGGGATGAGTATAAAATTGGCTGAAATCGGCCAAAACTTGTCAAAAACGACCAGTCCTAGGCAAACTGCCGCCTGCGGCAGCAGTGCCCTTGTCGGAGCACGGCAGTGCTGCC